TTCAGGTTGGTTTAATTACAAAGGTTTTCCATTAGAATCAGTGCCTAAAATACTGAAAGAGACTCTGTCTGGACCTAATGATAAGAATGAGATCACCCATTCTTTTTATTTAACAGCAACCTGCCAACTATTCTTCTATTTTTAGTAATAGATGAATAGATAAACACACAAATGAAGTAAAAGTAAATATACAGTGCATCCGCAAAGTATTCATAGCACTTCAATTTTTTCACACATTTTTACATTACAGCCTTATTCAAAAATTGAATAAATTCATTTATTTTCTCAAAATTCTACACACAATACCCCACAAAGTGAAAAATATTTTTTTAAACTGTTGCAATTTTATTGCAAATGAAAAAACCTGAAAAATCACATGTACATAAGTATTCACAGCCTTCGCCGCAGGGCCGGATTGGGACTCCTTTTCAGCCCTGGAGTTTCAAGCCTCAGACCGGCCCACCTCAGTTCACGACTGACTATATTGAAATAAGGTCGTTTCCAATTCAGTTTCTAATGACACGATCACGTCTTTTTTTTGAGAAAACAGCCGCTTTAAAACTTAAAAAAAAAAAAAAAAATTACTCAGCCGAGGATCAAACCCGGGTCGCTGGAGTCGAAACCTAACGTGCTAACCACTCGACCACAACAGTTATGAAATCATTCATTTGCAGGCTGCATCTTTATCACGAGGCTGCGAGAAAATAGATAAAAAGAGCAGAGCTGCGGTACAATATTGAATATGAAGACTGTGGTCAAGTAAATAAATACATTAATTTAAAAAGTGTGACTGCGAGCAACAGATTCTGGAGCTATTGACACCGGCCCTCGCGGCCAAAAAACGGACCGGCCCACCGGGAATTCTCCCGGTCCTCCCGATTAGCCAATCCGGGCCTGCTTCGCCGTGAAGCTCTAAATTGAGCTCAGGTACATTCTCTTTCACTGATCATTCTTGAGATGTTTCAGCAGCTAAGTTGGAGTTCACGTGTGGTAAATTCAGTAGATTGGACATGATTTGAAAAGGCATACACCTGTCTATATAAGGTCCCAGAGCTGATAGTGCATGTCAAAGCACAAACCAAGCATGAAGACAAAGGAATTGTCTGTAGACCTCAGAGACAAGATCATTTCAAGGCACAAGGCTGGGGAAGGTTACTGAAAATTTTCTGCTATTCCGAAAGTTGCAATAAGCTTCCTGGCCTGCATCATTCATAAGTGGAAGATGTTTGGAACCACTAGGACTTTTCCTAGAGCTGGCCGGCCATCTAAGCTGAGTGATCGGGGGAGAAGGGCCTTATTCAGGGAGGTGGTCAATAACCCGATGATCACACATGTCTGAGCTCCGGCATTCTTCTGTGGAGAGAGGGGAACCTTACAGAATGGCAACCATCTGTGCAGCAATCCACCAATCAGGCTTGTATAGTAGATTGGCCAGACGGAAGCCACTACCCGCCTGGAATTTGCCAAAAGGCAACTGAAGGACTTTTAGACCATAAGAAACAAAATTCTCTGGTCTGATTAGACTAAAATTAAACTCTTTAGATTGAATGCCAGACATAACGTTATGAGAAAACCAGGCACTGCTCATCACCAGGCTTATACCAACCCTACAGTGAAGCATGGTGGTGGCAGCATCATGCTGTGTGGAAGTTTTTGAGCAGCAGGAAGTAGAAGGCTAGTCAGGATAGACGGAAAGATGAATGCAGCAATGTACAGAGACTTCCTGAATGAAAACCTGCTTCAGAGTGAACTTGACCGTAGACTGGGGTGACGATTCATCTTCCAGCAGGAAAATGACCAAAAGCAAACTGCCAAATTATTAATGGAGTGGCATCACAACAACTTGGTGAATGTCCTTGAGTGGCCCAGGCCCAGAGCCCACACCTAAATCCTATTGAACATCTCTGGAGAGATCTGAAAATGGCTGCAGACCGTCGCTTCCCATCCAACCTGATAGAGCTTATGAGATACTACAAAGTGGAATGGGCAAAAAATCCCAAAGTCAGGTGTGCCAAGCTTGTAGCATCATATTCAAAAAGACTTGAGACTGTAATTGCTGCCAAAGGTGCATCAACAAAGTATTGAGTAAAGGCTGTGAATGCTTATGTACATGTGATTTTTCAGGTGTTATATTTTTAATAAATTTGCCACAATTTCAGAAAATCTTTTTTCACATTGTCATTATGGGGTATTGTGTGTAGAATTTTGAGAAAATAAATTAATTTAATCCATTTAGGAATAGGACTGTAACATACAAAAATGTGGAAAAAACGAAGCGCTATGAATACTTACTGGATGCACTAAAAATTCCTGTTGTATACATTATTTTTATCACATGGCTTGCACTCGTTACCTAAGACAAAATACATAGTTTGTAGTAGGGCTGAACAACGTATCGTTTAAGCATCGATATTGCAATGTGTGTATCCGCAATAGTCACATCACAGAATTAGATTATTTATTAAAAGATGATTAAATAATAATATTTTTACAAACTATTTATGCAACGATTACCATATTATTTAGTTTGATTGTTCAATTTCTCTACTTGTTACAACTGTTACACTGTTTATTTAACTTTTATTCTTGATCTGTCGCATTTCTATATGCTTATAGTTTATTATATTTTATGCAGACGCATTACATAGAAAAAGACTTGATTATCCCAATTAATTGAAATTCACAATATCTTTCTAAATAGAGATATTCAATCTGGTAAAATTATTTTCTTATAGCCATATATATTACAGCAAAACAGAATATCTCAATGTCAGATTTTTCCAATATTGTGCAGCCCTAGTTTTTAGGACATTAACCAAAACTATGCAGTAATAAAGTATTTCTTAAAATAGGGCTAAGCGTTTAGGCCTAAAATCTAAATCTCACTTAATTGAACATTTTAACTCAATTACGCTTAATAAATGATTACTTTTATTTAATACATTTTTTTGCCCTCATAGTTTACTGACAGGTTTTGTACAGTAAATATGCTCGCATATTAAAAGTGAGAGATTTTTTAATGAAGGGTGCATTATACTTGAATCTAAATAATTGAAAGAAACACATACTATCTACTATCTATGATTATTTATTGAACATCAATATTGAACTACTGAAATTAAAACACGCATTACCTAAAAATTAGCAGTCAAAAAAGGATTAGTTAACATAATTAAAACATTTGAGCTGGAAAGTTAGATTGATTATAGGTTCTGAATGTCAAATTTTGATTACTTTTCAATTAATAGCCCAGCTCTATCATAAAACTTGATTAACATTAGGAATAATAGGTACAATTTTGGACTTATAATAAACAAGTGTGAGGTTTATATTTTCTGTATGTCTTGGCCTCTGCTTGTGCATATTGATTTCGCATTGACTTTTATATATACATTATAATTAGCACTGCCAATATGCTAATGACGTCTGGTTTAATTTCAATATAGTTCGAATTGTTTGAAAAAGCAATGACTGCATATTAATGCTTGTTTATGGATAAACAAAGCACAGAAGCACTCACACGTTTACTCTTCTAGCGCAAGGGAAATGACAGACGCGCTGAGCTAATGAGAGAATTATTGATGACGGATAAGTACGACAAAAATCAATACAGGGGAAGTCATAAAGACTCTCTTTTCCTTTCTCTTTCTTTATCTCTGTTTCACTCGATCTATCTTGCATCAGCTCTTTTCTCTTGGTCTTTAATAATTAACTTCAGCATTATTAGCTTCTCAGTATAAAACAGCCTATTCATTAGTGTTGACACAAACACAAACAGACCACTCAACACAAAAGCACTTCATCCTTTTTTTTTTTTTTTCCTGCATCACATTATATCCATAGTGTGATTATAAATTGGATCTTGTCCGTGTTTGTTGATGTGGGTATTCGGGGATTTTAATGCAGCAGATGAGGTTTTAGTGTTTAAAAATAAATTCAGCCAATTTTATTGCTTTAATTGCATTCTAATCGGCCAAATCCCTGGACACACATATCTATGTCAGCAGCTTTAAAGCACCCCTCCCTTGTAGAACATGGCACGCTTTAACGTGATTGGCCACGCTTGGTCCTTTTGAGGCGTGGCACTTAATTGAACATGATAAAGTGTAAAGTTAATTACCCCTTAGAGCTGTCACTCATACCCCAGGGGGCGTGTTCACTAAGGGGGAGGAGTGTCACTTTAGGCACAGCTGTCGTGCGCTAGTGTATGTTTGTGGCGAGGAGGACAATGGCTCCTTGTCCTTAGAGAGTTGTGAAGGATGATTTGGACAATCGGCTTTTAAAGGCAAACACTCAAATGTTGTCCCGCTGGTGCCAGACAGCTTATTAATACCCTCCTCTGCTGAAACACATGCACACACACATTGTGTTGACTAAAATTGAACCTGCTTAAGTTAAATTTGCGGTTGACAGTTGATTCTTCCTATTGTTAAATCTAATGTTGACATCAACCAGGTTTTTCGAAGTAATTTGGAGTACATGTAAAATTATCTCTTTTTTTTTTCTTTGTAGCAAAACTGGAAAATTTGTATAATTTCATGGTACTAAATTTGTTTATAACTCTATTGGAGACACATAACATCAATTAATGATACTCAGTAATTTTTTAAACACAGAAACAAGGACAACTTCAAATACAGTACTTTGCTTATTGCATGTACTATGCGGTTAATTTATGCATTTTAAGTGAGTAATTACATTTTACTCGCTTAATATTTCTGTGGTTCTTGTTGTAATAGCAGTTAATTGTGCATAATTACATGGTACTTACACTAAGCTAAAATGCTTGCTAACTCCCAAGTAAGTTGGGAGTTAATTAAAGCTACTTAGTAATTACACTGTGACAAGCACACATTGAAATCAAGTGCTACATTGTAATTTTAGTGTTTTTATATGCCATAATTCTACCGCTGCAGCACTTACAAATACACACAGTCCATATTAGTGATATTTGTATTTATTTGTGTTTTCTTTTACAAGCATGACTGTGTTCTGTCTAGGTGTTGGTGCAGCCAGTTTGGCTAAACTCACTTTCTTGGTTGGTGGAGTTGAGGAGGAATATAATGCTGCCCAGGAGCTGCTCACCTGTATGGGAGCAAATGTGGTGTACTGTGGCCACGTGGGAAGTGGACAGGTAAATTTATTAACACAAGCTTTAATCTTTTACTATTATGTAATATAATAATGATAAAGAGTCTAATAAAATAGTATTGTTGTATTTGATTCTTTGTGATAGAATCACAAAATAATTCACTGTGAAATGTGCTGCATAATCTGATTTAATCCGATAAACAAAACCAATATTAGGTGGCATGGGTATAATTTGGCAATAGCCAAAAATAGATTAGTCAAAAAGATTTTTCTTTTATGCCAAAAATCATTATGATTATTAATGCAAAGTTCAGACTGCATGGTTTTCAAAGTAATCGTGTCACAGATGTTTTCACACTGCATGACTATCTGGGCTAGTGTTTTATTGTTGTTTTGTTTACACTGCAAGATGGATTGGCGATGGGAGGTTTTAAACTGCATGACTGAGAATCGCAGACAACTTTGTCCAAACTACGTCTCACAATCAAAAACACGTTTTATATCTTTTGTTATTAACTATATAATGAGAAAGTAGCCTTTACTGGGATATAAAATGTACAGTTGAAGTCAGAATTATTAAAAAAACCTCTCCGTTAAACAAAAATTTGGGGAAAAAATCTATTAATAATTTATTTAATAATAATTATTAAATTTAGGGCCTATAATTTAGTGGGGCTAATAATTATAACCTCAACTGTACATATTTGATTACCTGGGTTTGAAGAATTTCCTATTTCCTTTTTCACCTGGTTGTAATATTGCTCACATGACACGTCAAACAGACAGAGGTGCTCATGCCAAATATCCACTAGTTTTTTTCCTCTATTTCTTGGGTACAAATAAACTAAAATTTGCGCTTTTAACTTCTCCTGCTGGCCTGCAGATACCCATACTAGTCAATGCTGCTCTGTCATTGGCTGTAGGTGGTGATCGCCATTGTTATTTTCAGTCAAAACTCATTTCACATGGCATGATTTGAATCCCAGACAGCTCCAGATATTTAGCATGCCAAATATTTCACAGGCATTGGCAACTCATCTGTGATTCTCTCAGATCGCGTCTTTGATAGTTCACACTTTGTGATTGTTACTCGCTTGAATGAGCACTGATTTGGCTGTGTTTTTAAGCATTTTTCTGTGATTTTTTTTTTTTCCAAACCTGTCAGCGAGTCAGAATCTGGGCTTAATTCATGCAGTCTGAACTCAGCATAAGTAAAGATCATGTTCCATGAAGACATAGCAAATTTCCTGCTGTAAATATATTAAAATTCTGATTTCCTCATGTCTTACTCATGTAATACTCATACCTCTATGATATTTTGAAGCGAAATTTATGCCGCTACCCTTTTTTTTTTTTGGCAAAAAATTACTTCTAATAATTATAATAAAAGTTATTTATTACAATTGCTTGCACTTTTTACAATTTTACAATTGTTAAAACCCTGCTGAAAAATACAGAATATGCTAGTGCTGCTTCTTTGCTGGTCATTTGCTGGTCCTTACCAGCACATAAACTAGCAAACTAGCATCAAAATATACCTTACTAGCATATGCTGATTTTGTTTTTCCAGCAGGGAAATATGTTGCTTTTTGTAGGTAGTTTAAACAAACATTTAAATGTTTAATGTTTAAAATGGGTGGCGTTGTGGCTCAGTGGTTTGCATGCACTATAGGTGTATTGGGTAAACAAAATTGGCCGTTGTATTAGTCTGTGTGTGAATGACAGAGTGTATAGATGTTTTCCAGTGCTGGGTTGCGGCTGTAAGGGCATCCACAGCGTAAAATCAATGTCAGACTAGTTGGCAGTTCATTCCGCTGTGACAACTCCTGATAAATAAGGGACTAATCTGAAGGAAATTGAATGAATGAATGTTTAACAAGTTTATAATTAATGATATGACAATATAACAATATTTTTGGTGGGTTTACAATGCAGTGTTTTATAATTGTTGTTACATTATACGTTTGCTATATTATAACATTTTGAGAAAGTTATTACATTTTATACATTTAATTACAATGATAATGTAATTGGGTGACGCGGTGGTGCATTGGGTAGCACGATCGCCTTACAGCAAGATGGTCACTGTTTCGAGCCTCAGCTGGGTTAGTTGGCATTTCTGAATGGAGTTTGCATGTTCTTCCCGTATTCACGTGGGTGTCCTATGGGTGCTCCGTTTTACCCCGCAAGTCCAAAGACGTGGTATAGGTGAATTGGGTGTGCTAAAATTGACCATCTTGTATGTGTGCGAATGAGTATGTAGAGTATGGTTGTTTCCCAATGATGGGTCGCAGCTGGAAGGGCATCCACTGTGTAAAACATGTGCTAGATAAGCACATTCCACTGTGACGACCCCAGATTAATAAAGGGACTAAGCTGAAAAGAAAATATATGAACGAATTACAATGTAATGTGTATTATATGTGATGATAATGTAATATGTCTTCAATTATTGCTGTCGCTGAAGTTGTTTTGCAATTTTCTCTTTCAGGCAGCAAAAATTTGCAACAACATGTTGTTAGCCATCGGCATGCTTGGTACAGCAGAGACCATGAACCTTGGAATAAGGTAAATACTGTGTGTGTGTGTGTGTGTGTGTGTGTGTGTGTGTGTGTGTGTGTGTGTGTGTGTGTGTGTGTGTGTGTGTGTGTGTGTGTGTGTGTGTGTGTGTGTGTGTGTGTGTGTGTGTGCACAAGTGTGTGCGCGCATGTGCGTCTGTGTGTGTATGTGTGTGTGTGATAGAGAGAAAGAATGAGGGTGCTGTCTGATAAAAAAGTGAGAAGGTATAAATATAGTTCATATGTCCCCTGCTACAGTTTCAAAGTGGCACAGAATAGCGATGTAACACTCAAACTAAAGGGGTCATGTGATGACTCATTTACTGAATGTAAGTAAGAAGTATTCTTTTATATACATCTGTATTTGTATTTGTGATGCTATCCACTTGGTTCCATTTTGTGCCACATTTGACAATGATGCAGGTTTTATAACTAATTGCCATACACCATGTTGTTTGAAGCTGAGGGCCATTACACACCAAGTCAATGTCAACTTGTGCCGACAAAAGTCAATTTTGTTGTTGTCTTGGGTTGAATGCATCATGACAAAAAACTGTGCTTGAACGCGCTAAAAGGATTTCCAGCCACTACAATTTGGCATTTGCAGAATTTTCCTGTGTGTAAAAAGTAACTACAATCTACAGCAGGTACCAAATGTCTGAATTATTCATTCAAAATAGGAAACATAAACTAAGATTGTAGGTAGAAATCATTTAACAAAGCAGCTCTTGCTTTGCTTTATGAATATTAATTATGCTTTCTTCATTCCAGGCAGCTCATGGTGTAATGAAAATATTAGCATATTGAAATGCTCAGGTAAGATGACATGACTTTAGAACAGCCTTCTGTCTCTGCCGTCTTGATTCCTTCATCATTTTTGCTTTTATTCCTCTTCACTTTGTATGATAGTTGCTAGCTGAATGACAACTGTAATGTTAAATAAATATAAATAGAGAAATAAAATAATAAAAATGGTGGATACCAAAATCAATTTGGAAGTGAATGTTCGGTGGATGTCAATCACAGATAACAACATCCAGGATCAATACTGTTCATGTGCTAAAGGTTAACATTAAATTAAATTAATTTAAACTTAACAATTTTAATGTGGAGAGGCTGTGATTGGTTGGAGCTAGCTAAAATTGCGATTTGAATAAATATAGGTAGATTTGTTTTAATTATTTAATATATAAATTTAACATTTTTATTCCTGTGATATCATGAAATCAGGAATCTCTATTACAAGTAGCCCAGGCATATAGGTTTATGATCTTTTTTAACCATAAATACCACCAAATTGATTTGAGCTTTAAAATTGTTGTTAGTTTTTCTAAATGTCACTGCAAAAAATAAATAAATAAATAAATAAATAAATAAAAATTAAAATAAAAAAGTGTTTTTTAAATAAAAACACCTCTTGTCCAGACTGCTCTTTTTACACATTTGGCGATGACCCAAAATGAAATCGAAGCCGATATTTATTTTTTTTACTGTGTGACGTTGTTGTCAGGATGTTCAGTCAGCATATGACTTTGCCATAATCAGGCAACACTCTTTACGGTAGTGAGTGTTTGAATTGTCATTTTTCAAAAACAGAGAGGTATGTGTTCATTTTGCTCTAATCCAGCACAAAACTGTTCTGTTTAATTAGTAATGAGATAAAGTGCATCTGGAAAGTATTCATAGCGCTTCACTTTTTCCACATTTTTTTATGTTACAGCCTTATTTCAAAATGTATTCAACTAATTTATTTCCTCAAAATTCTACATACCCCATAATGACAATGTGAAATTGCTGCAAATAAAAAATAAAATAAATAAAAAATCAAATGTACATAAGTAATCAAATTATTTGCTGTGAAGCTCTAAATTGAGCTTAGGTACATTCTTTTTCCACTGATTATGCTTGAGATGTTTCAGCAGCTTAATTGGGGTTCACATGTGGTAAATTCAGTTGATTGGACATGATTTGAAAAGGCATACACCTGTCTATATAAGGTCCCCAGGGTTAATAGTGCATGTCAAAGCACAAACCAAGCATGGGAACAAAGGAATTGTCTGTAGACCGCTAAGACAGGATTGAAGGCTGGGGAAGGTTACAGAAAATATTCTGCTGCTCTAAAAGTTCCAGTGAGCACAGTGGCCTCCATAATCCTTTTGTGGAAGATGTTTAGAACCACCAGGACTCTTCTTAGAGCTGGTTGGCCATCTAAGCTGAGTGATTGGTGGAAAAGGGCCTTAGTCAGGGAGGTGATGGTCACTCTGTCTGAGCTCCAGCATTCTTCTGTGGAGAGAGGAGAACCTTACAAAAGGACAACCATCTGTCCAGCAATCCACCAATCAGGCCTGTATGGTAGAATGGTCAGACGGAAGCCATTCCCCGACTGGAATTTTCCAAAAGGCATCTGAAGGACTTTTAGACCATAAGAAACAAAATTCTCTAGTCTGATGAGATTGAATTAAACTTTTTAGAGTAAATGACGGGCATTATGTTTGGAGAAAACCAGTCACCGCTCATCATCAGGCTGATACCATCCCTACAGTAAAGCATAGTGGTGGAAGCATCATGCTGTGGGGATGTTTTTCAGCAGCAGAAAGTGGAAGACTAGTCAGGATAAAGGGAAAGATAAATGCAGCAATGTACAGAGACTTCCTGAATGAAAACCTGCTTCAGAATGATCTTGACCTCAGACTGGGGCGATGTTGTTTCTTCCAGCTGGACAATGACCCAAAGCACACCACCAAAATATCAGTGGAATGGTTTCACAACAACTTTGTAAATGTCCTTGAGTGGCCCAGCCAGAGCCCAAACCTAAATCCTATTGAGCATCTCTGGAGAGATCTGAAAATGGCTGTAAACCGTCACTTCCCATCCAACCTAATAGAGCTTAAGAGGTACTACAAACAGTAATGGGCGAAAATTCCCAAAGACAGGTGTGCCAAGCTTGTGGCATCATATTCAAAAAGACTAGAGGCTGTATTGTATTGAGCAAAGGCTGTGAATACTTGCGTACATGTGATTTTAGGTTTTTTATTTTTGATAAATTTGCAACAATTTCAAAAAATCTTTTTTTCACATTGTTATTAAGTGTACAATTTTGAGGAAATTAGTGAATTGAATCCGTTTTGGAATAAGGCTGTAACATAAAAAAATATGGAAAAAATGAAGCGCTATGAATACTTTACAGATGCACTGTAGTTGGAGACATGAAACAAAGGTTTAGGTAGCTGATGAAATGCAGACAGTGCCATTTCACACATTAGACTGCTCTGTATTTTGCACTATGTTACTTTTGGCCAACCTATGTGGTTTGTTCTTTAAAATTGCAGTTATGAATGGCATCTGTTAATAATGTATTTTTGAATGCATAAGGCACTTTTTTAAACTGTTGATTTATGAATCTGCATGTTTTGTTTTGTATGCTTTTTGTTGTTGTTGTTGTTTTTAGATGTTTGAATTTAGACTAGCTGAACCTTCATACAGGCTGTTATACAGATATTTCATTCGACTATTCATGCTTACTATATTTTGTTGGCATCCCTAATTGCAGCCTACCATTAGTGTAATTGCGATATAACATGGTGAATCAACGCACAATACACAAATGTCCAGATAAACAGTCAGAGTTATTGTGAGTAGCCATGCCTCTGTTTTCAAAAGTCTGCGTTTTAGTCTATCTACAGTGAGAGAGAGAAAAAAAGTGTTTCCAAACTAAAACTGTGTCTTTTCAAAATGACAACTGTAATGCCGAATAAATATAAATATAGAAATAAAATAATACAAATGATGAATAACAAGATTAATTTGGAAGTGAATGTTCGGTGGATGTCAATTACAGATAACAACATCCATGATCAACACTGTTTACATATGCAGGGTAATATTAAATTAAGTTAAACTTGACCATTTTAATGTGGAGAGGCTCTGATAGGTGGGAGCTTGTTAAAATGGTGTCTTTTCTAAATGCTTAGTTTTTGTGGGTTGCCACAGTAATGTGGATGCCAGGCATAACTGTAACAAAACCTGATGTTGGCCGATGGGCAACTGTTGACTTGGTGTCACAGCCCTAAAGCAGTTTAGTTTTAAATGTGTCATTTTTTTTACATATTGTACCCTGTGACAATATGTAAGCAATATCTTTTTATAGTACTGATAATTGCAAAACAAAATTCATTTATTTTTCTTTGTCTTAGTTTCTTATTTTGTCAGCAGTTGCCACAGCAGAATGAACTACCAACTAATCTAGCATATGTTTTACACAGCAGATGCCCTTCCAGCTGCAACCCAGTACTGGGAAACACCCATACATGCTTATTCACACACATGCACTATGGCCAATTTAGTTTACCCAATTCACCTATACCGCATGTCTTTTGACTGTGGTGGAAACTAAACACAGAAATGGCAATTGACCCAGGCAGGACTAAAACTAGTGACCTTCTTGCTGTGAGGTGACAGTGCTAACCACTGAGCCACCGTGTCGCCTGGAAAAGATTTTAAAATATATATTATAGTAAGATGAGATGAAAATGATATGCAATCAAAAAACATTGCTTGTTAGTTGCTTCTATATACAGCTTAACAGTTTCTGTGTAAATATGTGAAATGCATCCACATTCCCCTGGATGCAGTATTAGAATCTAGCACGCACCAAGTGATTTCATCCCTTTTCTCAGGAATATCGTGAATGCGTAGGCATCTGCACATTCATATGCACTTATACTGGCTCATTTAGATGCCTTGGGTTCTGTCTGTCATAAATCTCTCATGCTGCACTGCAGGCTTTCGTCTTATGCAGAAAACCACACATAGAAAATGTAAAGATGATATGTGTTTGACTTATTTGAAGATTCTTTTTCAATAGGACACAAGGAGATGCTCTGGTGAAATAATAATTAATCTTAGAGTATGAACCGTTACCAATTTCACCTCTCATATACAGTATTGCAGTAGTATAGTGACCTTCATATAATTTAGATTATTTATATATATATATATATATATATATAT